TCAGTTCCCGAATGAGTCTATTAGCAGTCTGTGATTTTACCGGATTAGAATACATTAGGTGCAGCTGCTGGCTGAATTCGTCAAAATCGTCCAGCAGGGGGCTTTTCTGTATAAGCAACGGGGCAGCCCACCTGGCTGCTGAACCAGAAAGCAAGCTAATTATAAATCCGACTTTGAAACGATCCGCAGGAAAGTCTTCTGGGTGAAGACTCATGTAGAGCTTGCACTGAGCAAAGAACACAGGAAACTGAGCCAGAATTCCACTGAATTTCTCTGGCACCAGAACTGGGCATTTTCAGCATGGTGTCACGATAGCTGTAGCCAAGGATTATAAAGCCTGGAGCTGATTCAGCTGAGCAGCAAGGAGAGCAACTTGCTGCACAAGTTGGGCGTTATCAGCAAGGAGCTGCTCCGTTCTTTTTGTGCTGACCACGCGAACAAACAGCCTCCTTTTTTTCAAAAGGGGTTTGGGTAACAGCAAACTGTCCTGATCCTGCTCAGCACACACACATACACGGAGGAGTTTGCTCGCCTTGTACTTTTAAGCAACAGTTATGCACGATACAGACAAAGTTCCCAACAAGTCCCAGAGTCTACGAAGCTTGCCTTGAAACAGCAAAACAGGAGGAGAGTCGTTGAATGCAGTTTGATGTGGGCCTGATGGGCTGTTTGTGTATTGAGAGCTGTTTGTGTTTGTGGGGCCCTGTCGGATGAGGAATTTCCTATGTTGCTCCTGCTTGTTCTGGTTTGATTAGATACATGGCTATAGATACGTGACTAGTTAGAAGTTGAACTATAGTACCCTTTGCCTCATTATAATAGTAAACGAGTTAGTAGTAATTTACTCACACCCCTAGGAGTAAACACGAGATGCTAATGAGCCCACCTCATGGCTTATTAAGGGGTACATATGTCAGGATCTGCGCAAGCTAGAACCTTCGATTGCTTTTTAATTTAATTTTAACAATGTATATTAAATGGTTAATAGTAAAATGCTTATTGCAAACTGCTTGCTTGACCTGCCATTGAAGTTAGAAGGAAGGGGGGGAGAGAATGCCAGGTGCTGTTATCTTTACCCAG